ATTTGGCTTGTTGAGAAGTAGATATTAACGTTTATATTCTATTGAAAATTCAAGGCGTTTATGTGTTTTTTATGCCTTACTCATTAATATTATTTTTTGACAAATAAATCATGGCCATTACGTGTGATGATATTTCGGTGATACTCCAATCTTTTATGCACTTGTGAGGCATCACTAGACTGGAAATTTTACTCTTTTCAAAAATGAAAAAAATCCAATATGGCGGCCATAAGAAAAATGAAAGTTGAGGCGGGTTGCTGGAAAACAAAGGACGATTGAGACATGCTATTTTATTTATCTTAGAGAAATGTACGAATAATGTCACATTTTGGCAGCTGTCAAATGAACCGTTTTGGATTTACTGACAAAAAACAAATTCCGACACTTTCCCGATTTAACTTTTGCTGTACGCTTCACAGGAGCCCAGATCACTGGATAGAGGAGCGAATCTGGGACACAGTGTATATACAGCATCTTACACTGTATAAAATTATTTTTATACACATTCGTAACGTTTTTATACGAATGTGTACTCTCAAATATTGCTATCTAAATGCGATCTGATTTCGTAATGTTGATCTCGTTCCTAGCTATAAACAGACGCCACTGACTGTAGCAATTCCATACACGGTACTGAATTTCACGCCTAACGCCGAGGGGAATGAAAGAGAAAGTGGAAACAGAGGAACCTAACCTTTGCAGCCAAGGTTGCAAACGGTATATAGCGTATCCGAGACACGATAAGTTGATTCGATGAAACTACGAGGGGATGTCAAAATGTTCAGGAGATTGTAATCAAAACTGGAAATAGATGAACTTTGGCAATGGGGTCTCTACGAGCGGATATGACATTAAGAGTAAGATTAGAAACAATGACGCTTCCTTACACGTTCAATAGATAATTTGAGTTTCGATGTCAGAAATATTTTTCTCTCCTGGCTGCTATTTAGTATTTTGATGATAAAATTGGAACGAATTGGTTTATTTAAATATCATTGAACAATGCATAATAATAATGTGTTTGCTTCCTTGAATTACAGTGCAATAACAGTGAAGTAAAAAAAAACCCAATATGGCCAACCAGTTACATCGGATTGTTCTGCTGGTTGCAGGTTGTAGATTGAATCTGTCAAATGCAACTGCTACAGTATTTCACAAAGAAAACTTACCAACAATTTTATATTATTATAAATTTATGCGTGGCTGTCATCATTGAAAATGAAAACAGATAACTCCTTAACAACTTTGAAAAAAATTTCAGAAACCTTCAAATAAAGATAAGAACAATGATTTTTGAACAGGCAAGTGAATAATCTCAGTCTCTATGAATTAATTTTTACAATCCAGTGTTTTTCATTTGGTAAGGCTGCTGCGACCAGACATTCCAGGTAAGAGATACGAAGGCGGGACAAAGTTGCGGATTTAGGTAACTGAGAAAGTGGCACTTGGAAAGTTTCGCAATTGCGAGTTTTTCCAAAATCGATTTTATTTTTACGGCTTTATGTGAGATGGGATTTCGAAGTAAAATATACATTAAAATTGCCATTTTTTTTCCTCTACAAGATAACAAATTAGAATTTCAATATGTTGTTTTATCACTTTATTTTTTACTATAGACGACATATTGGATTCTTACAGCTTTTAATTCTCATTCAAAATATGTATTATAATATCTCATACATTGACCTTACCAGACTTTAGTTATAAAAAAACTGACATTTTCATAGTTGGCTTTGAGAATGTCAGTTTATCACGTTTTTTTCGATTAAATCACCAATGCTTTAATTTCTGCGAAGCATTCTTAAAGCGCGTTCAGATAATTTTCTCATTTATCAATTATAACAAGCGTTACAAGGCACCTTAGCCGTAGATTAATAGTATTTGAATGCAAGAATTGTACATTAGTTTAGATATGGTGGATATGAAATGTGTTAAGGAAGCTGTAACATCGTCGAGGCTTTATAGTCTAATCATATTAGCAAATTTCCCCGAAATAATTGTAAAGTCTGGTTTTATCGGTGCGAGTTATTCAAGGGGATATTTAAAACATGGACGCAGAAAATGGGTACACCAATTTTTTGGGGACACTTTTTATTTGACAACAAAGAATGAGAAAACGTGTTTTTTGGAATTCAATCGAAAGTGTTGGAATGAACGAAAAAACTTTCCAAATAGTATTTTTAGGTATTTATGAGACCTAGAAAATGAAGCTACACATAAAACGATCCGACTAATAGCAAAATTGTTATGGCCGCAAAACGAGGCAAAATGCCGGTTTTAGCACTTGTAGATATCACGACGATAATTCTATGCAACTACTTGAAATTCTTCAAATCCCTAGCATTTATACAGGGTGCGGCAGAGAGGACGGACGTTTTTGGAATGGGTAGTACTCTCTGCCTCCGTCTACGAGAGAGGTGGGGAGGGTGCCGTTTGACTCGTGAGATCCTAGCATTATTTTACCAGTTGTCGTTATGGAGCCTTGGACGGTGGAGCACCGCGTTTTCGCCTATGATTGTTTCGTCCAAAATAATGAGTCAGTCATCGTCGTACAGCGTGAGTTTCGTCGCCACTTCAACATTCATCGGAATAGAGCTGTTCCCTCTCGAAACACCATCCTTCGTTGGGTTAAATCACTTCGCAGGCGTGGTGAACTGATCAACAGAAGACCAAGAGGAGCGCTGCGAACAGTTTGAACTCCTGAAAATATTGAACGCGTTCGACAGGTCTTTCTTCGCAGTCCGAATCGATCTGCCAGGAAACATGCTGCTGCACTTCGCCTTAGTGATCGTTCGGTAAGGCGAATTTTGCATATGGATCTCCGCTTTCACCCCTACAAATTGGCCATTGTGCAACAGTTACAGCCCGGACATTATGCACAACGAATGAACTTCGCACGTGAGATGGAAGCACTGATCGATCAAAATGAGAACCTCATTCTGTTTATGAGTGACGAAGCCCACTTTCACCTAAACAGCATGGTTAACCAGCAGAATTGTCGTTATTGGGCTAATGAAAATCCGCAACAGTTACACGAAAGACCGCTGCACAGCCCAAAAGTAAGGGTTTGGTGCGCTGTATCGCAAACTTGCATCATTGGCCCTTACTTCTTCGAAGACGGTAATGGTCGTGATGTTACCGAACAAGCCCCGAACTCTGGACGAATTGAAGGGCGAAATTCGCGTGGAAGTCGCCCAAGTTGAGAGAGCGATGTTGGAGAGAGTCTACGCGAACTTCCAAGAACGCCTCCAGTACTGCATCAACCATTTCGGCCACCACATGCCTGATGTGATTTTCCACACTTGACTGTCTCAAATGCTATTTCCTTGTGAACCTGATTCCATCAATAAATTTGTTTTCGAGTAAAAATTAACTATTTTATGATTTTTTTAAAACCCACCATCCCCTCTGCCGCACCCTGTACTTAATACAAAATTGGTCAAGTAGTTTTTTGAGAATTTCTGATTGTTTATCAGAAAACACCTATCTCTCGGCCATCACTACTAGTTTATTGAGTCATATACAGGGTTCGTCCAAAGAGTATTTAATAGCAAAATACACGTGTTGTACCTTGCCGATATGAATCACAAACCATACCGAAAGATAAATGTTATTTTAATGTGAAAAACAAAGGTTACGTTTTTTTCTTCTAAACAAATTCAAACATTTCGTATTTGTGAGTAATTGAACAAATGCACTGCGGTATTCGCAAGACATAATATGTTACTATACACATTTCAAAACAAAGCGGATTTCTTGCGAATTACTCACAAGTACGAAATGTTTGAATTTGTTTAGAAGAAAAAACGTAACCCATCATTTTTTTTCATGAAAATAACATTTATGTTCCGGAATGGTTTGCGATACATATCGGCAAGATAAACTAGTGTATTTTGCTATAAAATGCCCTTTGAACTAACCCGGTATATTGCTTAATAAACTAGTAGTGATGGCCGGGAAACAGGTGTTTTGGGACAAACAATCAAAAATTCTCAAAACTACATGACCAATCTACTCTAATTTTGTTGTGGCTATTTAGAAGTACGAATCCTGCGAATACGAAGGATTTCAAATATCTGGGAGAGACCATCGTCCCATTACCAACAAGTGCCAAATCCTGCAGTTTGGCTCGGTTTTCGGCCATAGCTATTTTGCTATTAGTTGGATCTTTTTACGTGTGGTCTCATTTTGTAGGTCTCATAAATACCTAAAAATCTTATATGAAGAGTTTTTCTGTTTCTGCCAAAACTTTCGATTGAATCCCAAAAACACGTTTTCTCATTCTTTGCTGTCGAATAAAACGTTTTTCCACAAAAATTGGTGTACCCATTTTATGCGTCCATTTTTTGAATACCTCCTTGAACAACTTGCAGCTATAAAACCAGACTTTACAATTATTTCGAAAACCAGGGGTTTTTTCGTCTAATATAATTAGACTATTACTCCAAAAGGGTTTTATCATTTACATAAAATAATGCTGCTTTCACTGTTTACTGATTGTTTAGTCTCAAGGACTACTTACGGAATTCTGTTTTTTTTTTCAAATAGAGGAGACACGGGCAGCCGGAATCACTTTCGGAGAGTGCCAATTCATAGCACGAAATTATTAAAAAATGATCTATCTGAATACTTTTATGTGGATTTTAATTATTTCAGAAACATTAAACACTACTATTTTAACTTTACAATATAGTTTGAGCAAGTTACGGCCTAAATTATTAAAGACTGTATTTGATTCTATTTGCCCGACCCTCTAGGGTAAGAGGAATCACAGGTGAGGGCAAAAGGATTCAAAAGAAAAAATATAATATGGAAAATAGAAAAATATATATTATCATTAAGGAAAACTGAAAATGGTAACTCTTACAATAATTATTCTCTTAACCTAATTATTTTCTCTAATCTTTAACCTGATTTTATTAATCTTGATATATATAAAATAAAAAAGACTATTATTAGTAGAAACTGAAAAAGGTATTCTATAATTATTCCTAACTCAATTATGTTCTCTGATCTTTGACCTGATTTTGACAATCTTGACAAATATAAATTCCAGTCTTGTAGCTTGTGCATTTCTGATGTGCCCACTTCTCACAGAAATTGCACTGTATCCAGTGTTCGCCTGGAATGGAGTTTTCAAAGGAATCGTCACATATCAAACATGGAGTTTCTTCTTCATCTGGAGCGGTTTTCGGTGGTGAAGGTGGACGAGGTATTTTCAGTTTGCTGGAATCTGTCTCTTGTTGGATCTTCCTTCTAACGCTTTTGACACATTCTTTGCTCTTACTTTTTTCTCTAATTTCTTCTTTAATTGGCGTAGAAGTCAAAATCTCTGATTTCTGTTGATTCCTTTTTATTTTGGGTTCTTTTCGTTTATCACATTTAGGTATAATATGAATATCAATAATTTTAATGCGATTATTTCCTTTTGGAGCGTCACTAGCTTGTTTTAAGGTCGTACTATTATTGAGACCAGAAGGTTCAGGTTTTGCGATATCATTATGGGCAGATGTATTGGGCGGTCCAATTTCAATAACATCCATATCTTGAGGATTATGGTTAATACGGACCTCTGGTTCTTCATTGTCAGTTACATCTGCTGGAAGGAAGTCCACTTCGGAAAAAACATCTAAATCACATCTTGCAATGCCAGTTTTTTCGAAACCTTTTATAGCGTTTGTTGGTGTTGCAGCTTTAAGGTAGGCATTATTAAAAATTTTGCCTACATCAAACAACGTAACGCGTTGTGCAGGATGCGCTTTTTGCCACTTGTCAATTTCATTTTGGAAATAAGTTCCGAAAGGGCCATAAACGGACACATCTAGCGGCTGGAGCTTGTGTGTCGTGACATTATTCTGAGAGGCATAATCAAGGACATCAATAGACCTATGAGAAGCATGATTGTCTAAGATTAATAGACATTTATGGTCTTCATTTGGTCTAACGTTGCTTACAAAAAACTTCATCCACTCCAGGAAAGCTTCGGAACTTATCCATCCAGAATCAGTTACTAACTGAGAAGAGCCTGGTGGAGTTCCTTCCATGTACCTTGGATTTTTCTTTTTCCTTGGGAAAACTAGTGTAGGAGGAATATATGCCCCAGCAGCGGAACAACAAAACAGTGCCGTTACTAGGAGGAAGATATAGCTCCAACTCCCTTTTTGCCTTTCAGGGAAATAACCTTAGGAGGCCTATTTGTAGAGGTTTGGATCCCTGTCTCATCTACGTTGTACATATTTTCAGGCAAAATATTGTTTTTCTCGATGACGTCCCTCAAATTTTCGAAAAACCTCTCCACTTGTGGGCGATTAAAGCCACTGGCTCGTGCAACACTGGTCGGCTCAGGTGTCCGTAAGCTTAACTCAGGATGTCTCTTCATAAAATTTTGATACCATTGCTGACCCGCTGAATTATTTTTAAAACAATGAATAATGTGGTTCGCTTCGGCGTATTGATATGCTAACACACAAAGATCTCGTCGCGTAAGCCCATAAAAACGGCTATCAAGCTCTTTGATATGGGTAACAAATTCTTGTTCTTCTTCTGGAGTGAAAACCGTCTTAAATCTGCCCAGAGATTTAGTAGTTTTATTAGACTTCACATGCTTAAGGAGCGTTGAGAATGGAATGTTATATATCAAAATACGCTTTTCTTATCGACTCCCCGTTACGCACTGCTTGCAATGCATGTTCCATGGATGTTTCTGTCCAGGTGCTTCCTCGTTCCGACTTTCTTTTATAGTTGAAAACCATCTAGAAAAGAAGCGAAAATTACATACCTACATGAAAATCGAAAATTGATATACGGGCAAAAGGAATCATGATCCCTTTTGCCTGATTCCTCTTGCCCGAAATGCACTGTCACAAAGGAAATAAAAATTTACGAGACGCTGGCAACAATGGACATATTTTCAAGGTTAGGTAGAAAAGTAGAAGTGCCAATCTTTCGATTATTAACTAAATCGTTTTGAATAAATGGCTGAGTCACTACTTACCCTTCTTCAAAAATCCTTTGAACAACTATTCAAGACGTAATTAATTAGAACACCTTAAAAAATATGAGGTAAAAACTTTAGCACGAGGGAACGCGTTGCGCATGAACTTGTGCCATACTCAGCGAATTGTTAAACAGCGTTGTCAGGTTTCTGTGATGAAGCTGTTTTCATTTATTTAGCTGATTCCTTTTGCCCACTATATCCCTTTTGCCCGATTTTACCCTAACTGACATTTTCCAATAATTTCATTATTTGAGTCAGAATCAAAAACTATTTTGACCTGTGCAAAAATCTATATGGCGTCTATAAGAAAAAATAAAGTTGATAATTGAAGACAAGGACGAAACTTCATATTAAGATTCTAATTATGTCCTCTTATAGAGGAGAAAAAGGGGAAATGTTGATGCGCTATTTTGAAATCCCACCTCAAATAACGTAACATATGCTATATTGGGAAAATTCGTTTTTTTTTTCGACTATCTTCGGAAAGGAACTGCGAAACTTTCTAAGCGCCATCTTCTTAGTAACCTAAATGCGCAACTTTGTTCCCACTTAACCGACTCTCTTATCGTTTCACAGATCCCAACGGTGACAGATCAATTTGAAACACCCGTCTACATTGATTCTTATTCCGAAAATATCAAATATTATAAATAATTACGAGGGGGTCGAGGGGTAATTTTCCCTTGGAAAGTTGAAGTAATGTTTAGTATCAACAAATTTCTTCAAAAGGTAAATGTAGCGAAATGTTTGCATGTTTTCTGCAGAAACGGCTTGTTGCTTTTCAATAATTATATATATGTCAGACAAATCAGTATTCAGACATTGTATAAATAGTTTCCTCTCACGTAATGAAAATGAATTCTCGCATATAAACAGTACAAGCATAGATAATGTATTTGAATCGCATATTACCCAGTTAATTGAGCCTGAATGCGTACTGTAAATGGCATACAGTTAATTGCGGATTGTAACTTTTAATAGTCATGCAAAAATATCTAACCTTAATGTTTGGGAGGGGCATGTGAACAGCCTGCCGTTAACAACCGTGATATTTTGATTATTTATTCATATTTCTCATTTTTAAAATTATACGAAAGTTATTAATAACTAGGTTTGCTCCAAGTATGACATAGTTCATAGCTGTGAGCTGCTCACAATAGTCGTGACATTTTGTTGGAAGTCAAATACTGTGAGTAACCTAAAAGAAATTACAGTTTTGCCTATGACTCATAGTTAAATCCCAGAAAAGAAATGATCGCATTCAAATGGCATCAACTACTCTGCACTTCCCACGCAGCGCCATTCGTTCACAAAGTCAAAGGTTAAACCCTCGGAGGAAAAAGTTAGTTACGAACATGTGTATAACAAAAAACTTGAATGGATCAAGTCAGTCAAACAATCATCTGGAAACATTGATATCGCTAACTTTGCCAGCCACCAAGCCAGCCAGCCACCGGTCAGACCCTGACTCGGGCCCGTATCATCAGTCGTCAATACAATTGTAGGGCGCCTTTATGGCCTCCTTGATTGTCATAGTTTTCTACTTCTCCGTGTCAGTGCTCTATTTTGAGGTTATGTCACAAACGTCTATTTGCATCAAATTGGGCTTGCTTTTGAGTTATATCATGTTTTATCAGCCTGAAATTTCCTACAATTTAAAAGGAAAACATAACTCCACAATAGGAGAGCGCTGACGCTAACACGGAACAAGTGTAATCTAGAAATTTTTGAAGGAGAGAAAGGAGTATGACAATCAAGGAGGCCATAAACGCGCCCTACAATTGTAGAAGCGACTGACGATACGGGCCTAAGGTATATCTACGTTCGTTGCGTTGCGAGTGACGCTTGCTTTGAAACTATGTATCTCCATTTGCCATTCTTTGTTTTAGTCACAAAAATGTACGGCGGAATATGTTATGACTATCGGCATACCAATATCTCGAATTGTGAAAGACAAATACTTCGATAGGCATCTCTTAACGCAGTACGTCGAGCGAACAACGCGATATTATGTTACGTTTGATCCATCAAGCTTTTTTTAACACCCGACACGTGTTTCGCTAAATATGTTACCAACTACAGGTAAAGATTAAAACTCTGCCATTGTTAATATTTTCCCGAAGGTCCTAACATAGCGTATTACGTGTTGGGTTCATCCAAAAAGCTGGCCCACAATAGAGCAGATTTCTTTACACTGAAGCAGCCGCGAAGGCAGAAGCCTAAATACCTGGGCCCCGGGGCTGCAATGAGGAGCTTAAAGAAACCCTGTTAAACTGATTTTTGAACTGCCGTAGGACAGTAGAACTGTGAAAAGTTTCCTCAGGCTGAATCTTCCACAATCTCAATTCCATAGGGATAAAGGATTGGTCGTATCGGCAGGTTCTGGATGTACAAAATTCGACTTGGGGGGCCGAAGTCAGGTGGGTCTGTCAAGCAGGCTCATCGCGTGGTGGTATCCTGGAAGAGAGCTATGGGAAGCAAAGCCCATTGACATAGCGGTGGAAGCATCGAGCATAGATAATGCAGCCGGGGCGACAGAATCCCAAACATGTGAGGAGGACTCGAGGCTAGGTCTTATCTGGGCCGTGTACAGAGTAAGGGGGTTATGTGAAGAAAAGTATTTCTTAGCCCCAAGAAATATCCTAGCTTTTTCCCAACAGGCGCCGCTATTGAAGACATGTGTTCGTGTAGATCAAGTCCTCGGTGATCTGGACTCCGACCAGCTGAAATGAACGGATCTTTGTGTTCCCAAGCAGAGACAGCATTTAGAGTGCTGTCATCAGCAAAGCTCTGGATCACGGGAAATAAAGCTAATGTTTGGATAACCGAGTACTTTTTCGGGAAAAACCATATCCGCATTTTCCATGCCTATGTAAGAGGTATTGTCGGTCTACATAAATCCATTTCGTGATGATGAAAGCCATGTTTGGTGTTCGATCTCTGATGCGAAAACCTTATTGAAAAGCGGGGTCGCTTTGTTTCCGGCTAACACGCTAATTGCCTCCTGTGGCATTAAAATGTCTGGGAAATTCTCGGTTGATATTCGACTGGCTCCGGATGGAATTCGGATTAATTGGAATCGGAGTTTTTCATTAGCTCGTAGAGTGCACCGCGTTTGATGGCATGGCGCTGCAGAATCGGTGATAATTCGAGCATTGTCCAACCTGATCGATCGTTGGCCTGTGATATTGTCTCCTTTGACAAGGAATAAAAACTTACAACCAAATATACTGAATGATATAGAAAAGAGAACACCCAGTAATACTCAATTTGTTACATCAATTTTTTGATTACTCTTAGGGTTAGGTAAATAATAATTGATTAATTTCACAGAAATAAAACCGTTAAAAATGTGAAATATTAATAATCTGTTGGCACTCCATGACGTCTTATGTATTCAGAAACACGTTTGGACAAATTTTGACGAATCTCATCCCAGGTTACTTGTACCGCCTGCCGAAGTACCGCTGAAGTCTGTGGGCGATGAGGTAAACGGAGTAATATTCTTTCCATAATGCCCTAGTCGTATTCAATGGGTGAAAGAAGGGAAGATCTAGGGGCCAAGGCAACAAATCGACTTGATTATCTTCAAAATGGGCCAACGTAGTTCTGGCTATATGTCGCATATTATCTTGTTGGAAAGCGTCAGTATATAAGAAAAACATGTGGTTCCCTCACCTCTTGGCTGTAAACGGCGTTCACGTTGCTATTGTTGAACCTTAAATGTGAAATATTTCTATAAGCAATAGCACCCTATACCATAATTCCAACAAGGGCCTCTGATACAATTGCCGAAGATGTGTCAACCCAGTAGTGCATAAAAATGAAATAAAAAAAACAATAAAGTCCTGCTCAGGAACGAATTCGAGAAGACGCTCTCACGCGTTTATCCGAGAATTGAAGTAACGTTTAGAAAATTCCTGCACAATTGCCATCTTGTAGGGATGGAAATGAAGATCATTATGAAGA